TTAAATTCTGGGATATAATATTCAACTCCAGACTTGTCCCTATGATTAAGTTGGCCACTTTCTTAGTTTTTGGACTCTTATTTCCGTGTGTCTGTGTTTAATTTTCCTGAAACAGCACACCCTTGAGACCTTCGTGGAGATCTTGTCTGGTGCTGGTAAATTATTTCAGGTTTTGTTTATCTGAGAATGTTCTTGTCTTTTCTTCCCACCTGAAAGATAATCTTGTCAGGTACAGTATTCTTGGCTGAAATTGCTTCTCTCTTAACACTTGGAATATATTTTCCCATTCTCTCCTCGCTCGCATTGTTTCTGATGAGAGATCTGCTGTTAGCCTGATGGGATGTCCTTTGTAGGTAACTTGATGTTTTTCTCTTGCCAGTCTTAGTATCTTGTCTTTATCTGTGATTTTGGTCAACTTGGCTATAATGTGTCTTGGAGAAGATCTTCTTGGGTTGATTCTATTTGGTGTTCTTTGTATTCCCTGGGACTGGATCTTTGAATGCCTCTCTAAGTTTGGAAAGTTTTCTTGCAGGATTTTGTGGAATAGATTATCAATGCCCTTATGGGTCTCTTCACTCTCTGGAATGCCAATTATTCAGATATTTGGACGTTTGATGATATCCAGTACTTTTCGCATATTATTCTCTAAGTTTTGGGCCATTTTCTCAGTCTTCGTGGTGGATTTTTCTAGGCCAGCTATTTTCTCTTCTACATATGAGATTCTATTTTCTGAATGATCTAGTCTGCTTTTAATACTTTCAAGAGAGATTTTGACTTCCTGTATTATAGACTTCATTTCTAACAGTTCCGATTGAGTCTTTGGTAAAGTGTGCAATTCCTTTTTTAGATCTTCCAAGAATTTCCTCATCTCCTGGAACTCGACAAGTTCTTTCTCCTTTCTCTTTAGCAGTTCATTATCTCTCTTCTCTTCCATCTCTGTTAGTTTCGACATTATGAATGCCCTAAATTCCTTATCAGACATTTTCATGATTTTCACCGAACTGCTTGTGGATGAAGAAGAGTTACTCTTTTCCCTTGGAGGAGAGGTATTTTCTTGTTTTCCCATATTTCTTGAGATCCAGCAGTGATTTCTTGTCATCTGATGGATGGTGTGTTTCTTTCAAATTCCTGAAATTCAGCCTGAATGTTCAGGAGCAAGCAGACAGAGGTGATCTAGAATCTATTTGCCATTCTGTTGTGATCACTGGTGCAGCAGATTCAGTACATATTGGGGAATATTTTAACCCTATTAGTATTTGGATGTTTAGCTACACTGCTCTTAGATCCATGTAAAAACACATTGAAAGGATATTGGAAGGTGGAGAGACAAGAAAAAGGAAAATGAGAGAGACAAACAACAACAAAAAGGGAAAAAAAAGACAAAAAAATTAAAACAAAATTGTAATTACTGTTCTTTTAAAAAAAGAACATGGTGGGAGGACCAGAGCGAAAATTAAAAAGATTAAAGGTGATTAAAAAGGTGGAGCTAAGAGTCAGAGAAAAAACTGTGCCTTTTAAAAAAAGTGTAAAAAGGAAAAATTACCAAAAAAAAAAAGGGAAGACAGAAGGAGAGAGAGACAGGAACCGAGACAGAGAAATAGAGATAGAAGACTGAGGGTGTGGGGGCGGGGGTTCCCTACCGCTAGCTCATTTGTTGGAGGCTGAATTATCGGTAGAAAATCTTCATTCCCTGAGAAATCTAGTTCGCTGTAGCCATGTGGAACCTTCTTCTCCAATCTTTCAGTTTCTACTATAGAGTGTGGATATTCATGTATTTTATTTGGTTTTAATTTCTTTTATACATTAAATCACTATACTTAGTTTGTAAAGTGAACTTTCCAGCATGAATGCATTTCACAACAATCCAGTTGGGGACACTATACTCATTATCATCAATAAATAATAATTCATTTCTGTGTCCCATAAATGTCTTGCCTTTCTATTTTTGTCTTCAATGTCTCTCCTCACATTCTCCTCCTTCTTTGACCCACTTCCCACACTAACTTAGCATTCAATTTACTTTTCACGGGGCCAGCAGGTGCTGTAGTGGTAAAGGACCTAAGTTCTCACATGGCCAACCATGGTTTTTTGTTCTGGACCCTGTGACTTGAAAATTATGCCTGGCATGTGTATGTGCATGCATGCCCCAAATCCTGAGAGGATAATGGAAGAAAAGGGTTTAAGGCATGACCAACCTCCTGAGGATTAATTTCTCACTTATTGTTTTTTTTTGTTTGTATTGTTTGTTATTTTTTTGTTTTGTATCTCTCTCTGGTGAAAGCAAATGAGTTACAGCAGACCCTAAAGAAAAATTAAACTCGTGCCTCAGTGAAAATACAAATTATTTTTTGAAGTCTGCCTTTTTAATCCTAACTTTATACTATGTGATTCTGCTTACATGCATTCTTACTAACATACAGATGTTTTCACATCTTTTTTATATGCTGATTTGTTTTCTTATGTTGTTTAAACAGCAGTCCAATTAAAATCAATGTGGTAATGGATATGCACACATAGTTGAACATTATATAATGAAAGGAATGAATTTTTAATTTAATTTAATTTTTATTTTAGATAGAGTTTTGCAGTAGAACATGTGTGCTTGCCAGAGAAACAAAGAGATAAAAAAAAGCCAGAAATTATCCCCTGGGGAGATGGTGATGCCACAATCCCTTTTCCTCCATTCTCCTCTCAAAATTTTGAGTTCACATGCACCTTCACCCAGTAAGATTCAAGCTGCCAGTTCTGGGACTCAAATTGTACTTAGGCATTTGGGAGTCTGACAACGCAAACAGTGCATCTTCTGCTGATCTCCAATTAATATATTTTTAGGAAAGTTTGTCAGTGTGTGAACATAATTGATTGCACTTACACAAACCAAGATGATATTGAACATTGCACATGAAATTAATATGATCTAACTTTTTTGTCATTGAATTGTCTTCTGTCTTTGTAGAGCACACAACTCTTATATATATGTCTATATGTATGTGAAAGTGTGTGTGTGTGTGTGTGTTTCTGTGTGTCTAAAAAAATTCCTCTATATATCCTTAAACCTATTACCATTTGTCAACAAAGTTCTTCTTATATATTGATCTTCTATAAACACAAGGAGAGTACAGATTAAAATATCATTCAGGTTTTTGTAGATACCATTCACATTTCCTCTTGTCATGTTACATACCATTTTTTTAAGAATTGTTTACATAATTTGTTATTATTAACCTGCTTCAATTTGATGAGAGAGAGAGAGAGAGAAAGAGAGGCAGAATGTGAAAGCCAGTCAATAGATCCAGGGATCAAACCATAGTTTTCCATATGAGAATCCAGTGCCTTCTCCACCCCACCACCTGCCAGACTCTTGCATATCTTTCTTTGTTGTACTAAACATCTCAAAGCATTGACTATAATCTCAGTCATAGATGAGGTAGAATATTTATACAACAGGAACCAGTAGATTACGTATTGGTTACAATGCTGGACTCCCATGTGACTAACTGCAGTTTGAGTCTCGGACCTGCTGTATAGACCCTCATGCTGAGTGCATGTGCATGCATGCTCCCATCCTAGGAAGAGATGGAGGAGAATTGATTGTGATATGGCCTTTCCCTCGTGGGCTAATTTCTCACTTTCTCTCTCAATGTCTCTGTTTCTCTCTCTCGTGAGTGCACACACCCTAAGGCAAAAATCTTTTTAAAAAAGATTTATATAACAATCATGCTTTACACATGTATTGTGTTAATATATAAAAAGCAGGGCTCTACAAATGTCAGAGTCCAGAAGTAAATTAACCACATTCTTATCATTCTGCTAGCACATAAAATTTAACTTAAATTTTTATTGTGTACCTACATATCACATTATATATTTTAAAATCGAGAACTAAAACTTTTCTACACAATCAGATATGAGAACCTAGTATAAATATTCTTGGGAACACAGCTTTTCAGAATATTTACCTTGTAAAAGCTGCATTGAAATTGTTTTGAAGAGAGTGATTACATAAGAGAAAAGAATGACCAAGGGATTAGTTTAGTTACTGTACAGTAATTAGGTACATTGGAGATATTTGGCAAATAATACATAAAGAGGGCTGGCAGATGAGGTGATGGTTAAAGCACTGGGCTCCCACATGGTTGACCATGGTTCTTGTCCCAGACCTGTGGCTTGCTTTCTCACTTTCCCTTTTTTTCTCTCTCTCTATTTCTGTTCATATATTAAAATAATAATAATAAATACAATTAAATAAATAATATTTACAAAAATTTTAAAATAGTAATAATACATAAAGAACAAAGGGAAGCATACTAGTTCTTCATGATGAATCTTTGTAAGGGTGACCAACACATAACACAAGGGTTAAATTCTGGACTTCCACAAAGTTACTACAGTTTTGAGTCCTGGAACTGGAGACTTAAAACTCATGTCTGCCATATGTGCATGGTTTCCTCAAACCCTGAGAAGACAGTAAGTAATGGATTGCAGTGTGGATATCACACCAGGAGTGTTTTGTCACTTTCTCTGTCTCTCTTGAGTGCATGTACCCTATAGAAAATTTCTATCTTTAAAACAAAACAATTAAGAGAAAACCTTACTAATATTAATGTGATGGAGGATTAAATAATACACAGTGTTGAACCATTAAAAGCAATAGTTTTCTACAAAGTGGAGAAAAATTGAGACATCTCATCAAAACAATTTATACCATATATGATTATGACTAATAATTCTCTTTTCTGCTCAGACTCCTGAATCGGTGTGTAGTCACGGCTGTGTTCCTGGATTTCAAAAACTACCCCAAGAAGGAAGACCTGTTTGCTGCTTTTTTTGTGTCCTGTGCCCAGACTCAGACATTTCAAATCAAACAAGTATGAAATACGTAACTAGATTCTTAGTCCCTTCTATTGCTCAATAAAAATAAAACTAATAATACTATTAGAAATAAAACATGGGGGCCAGCAGATGATGTGGTGGTGACCTGGATTTCAAAAACTACCCCAAGAAGGAAGACCTGTTTGCTGCTTTTTTTGTGTCCTGTGCCCAGACTCAGACATTTCAAATCAAACAAGTATGAAATACGTAACTAGATTCTTAGTCCCTTCTATTGCTCAATAAAAATAAAACTAATAATACTATTAGAAATAAAACATGGGGGCCAGCAGATGATGTGGTGGTGAAGGCACTGTTCCATGTGGCTGACTGTGGTTTAATTCCCAATCCTGAATCTTGAATCATGCCAGGTGCATGTGCATGTGTGCCCAAAATCTCTAGAGCAGAAAGTAAAATAAGAGACTGTGGCAAGGCCATCTCCTCCGGAAGGTGATTTCTCACTTTCTCTCTCTGCTGAATACACTGGCCCTATAGCAGAACTCTCTCTCTCCCCCACACACACATACACACACACACACACCAGAGAGAGCGAGAGAGAGAGAGAGAAATGAATCATAGAGCACCACTGATCTAAATTCATTTATTCATTGTTTTGGTATACTTATTTTATAAACACTATTACTACCCTATTTTGTGTAAGCTGTTATCTGGTTATGCTCATTCTATTAGGCTCAACTCTGAAATAATTTCCAATGGACACCCTTGCACTTTAGTGCTGGGTGAGACAGTGTCAATCTTAAATCTCATACTGGTGCACATTAGTCATGAAATGAAAGATGTGTCATTATCAAGGTGACATCTGGGTGCCTTAAAGTTGAAATCTGACTTTTATACCCAGATGATAAGCACAATATAATAACGGATAAATTATAAAAATATTTTAAACTTATTTTTGAGAGTTTTTCTTTCTTTTTTCTTTTTTCCTTTCTTTTTTGCTATAGGGCACGTGCGCTCACCACAAAGACAGAGAGAAACAGAAATACAGAAAGGTGAGAAATAACCCCCCATGGGGGATGGCCGCACCACAACCCCTTCTACTCCATTCTCCTCTTGGGATCTTGGGCACACATGCACACGTGCCTGGCATGAGTTTAAGCCACTAGAGCTGGGACTCGAACTGTAGTTAACTACATGGTAGACCAGCAACCTATCCATTATACCAAAAGATGGTTCCAAAATATTTTAAACTTTTCCAACCATGCTCAAATATACCTGTGCAATTAAGAACAAAGAATTGACTAATATCAGAATATTACACTTTGAATTATATTGCAGGAAGAAACAAGAAACATAGTTTAAAGATTGAAGACTCAACATTCTAATCAATTTTACACTTAGTCACCTCAAAATTTACTGTCATACAAAATATAAAATCAAACAATTGTCAAAATAAAATGTGGTATTGGCAATTGTAAAATATGAAAAATTATAATAAAGAATGTTTCCATTTTTCCAATATTTAAGGAATAAATGTGGTTTGAATTATTCCATAAGTATTATTCAATTTCTGGCATTCTAACAGTAGAAATCATTTTGATTTCCATTTTTCTTAAAAATATTTATGTTTAGGTTAGAATATGCCAAGAAAAAATGTCTATTTTCTTGTGAATGAATTGCAAAACCAAATGAGTTTGTAAAACAAGAAATAAAAATAGAAGTATGGAGACAGCCCATGGCATGGTGGGTAAGGTGACTGAATCTCACATGACCCAAATTGTGACTTGAGTCCTCAATCAGATGACTTGGAAAATACACAGAAGTTTGTACATTGTGCAAAATAATGATAAGGTAAAAATATGGTGCAGAAGGGATTGTGGCATGACTATTTTACTGAGGTGGTGCTGTCTTCTAGTTCTTTCTTTCTCTGGGTGTCTCTCTCTAGTGAGTGAATGTGCCTCCCAGCATTTTTTTTAAATGAATAATATGAAGCCAGCAGGTGGCATGGTTGCTAAGGGTGCTGGACTGCCACATAACTGACTGTGGTTTGAGTCCTGGACTGGGTGACTTGTTTTCTCACTTTCACTCTTTCTCTGGTAGAATTAAAAAATAATAATAATATAAGAATAAACTGAAAAAAATAAAAAGATATTTGATGATGATAATAGAGATTTTAATGTCTTTGTATTGAGTGATATGCATGGTATTTATTCTGGAAAAATAAATGCAATATGCTGTAAAGGTATAGGTGATTCAATGTAATATAAACAAGATTATGATAATAATAAATAAGATTAATAATTACAAATTAAATTAAATAAGTAATTTTTAAATGAAATTAGGAGCCAGTAGGTGGCTTGATTCATAAGGTACTGGAATCCCACAGGACTGATCATGATTTGAGTCTCAGACCTGGCCACTTGCTTTTCCACTTCCCTCTCTCTTTCTGTCTATGTATCTCTGTGCTGAACATAAATGTCTTAGAGCAAATTTTTAAATTAATAATAAATAAAATTAAATAAATAATTATATCTTTTAAAAAAACTGAATAGAGAAAGAAAGGGTTTGGGACCCAGAAGAAAATAAGCACATTCACGTGGATGCCAAACCTATTCCTGAAACAAAAGTTTGGAGTATTTGTTGACTTTTGGAATAGAAATAGGTAATACAAGCAAAAAATGTGATTAGTTATCACTCTAATTCTTTTTTTCTAAGAACTGTTTATTTAATTCCATAATTATTATTATTAAAATTTGCTATAAGTCATTCACACTCACCAGAGAGATCTAGGAAGGGAAAGTGAGAAAGCAAGTTACCATGTCTGAGACTCAAACTGCAATAAGTCTTGTGGGAGCCTAGAACTTTTGTATTATTTTAATTTCTTTTATACATTCAATCACTATACATCACTTTGCTTGTGAATTTTCCAACATGACTACATTTCTCACCAGTCCAGTTAGAGATGCCCTACATGTTATCATCAACAGATAATAATCCATTTCTATGCCCTGTAAATATCTTGTCTCTTTGTTTTTCTCTTTAATATCTTTCTTCAGACTCTCCTCCCATCATATTATCACACAAGGATCTTAAATGCCATGACACCACTGTAATTCTCTGAGATTATATTGGGTTGTAAGAGTCATAATGTATTTTTAGTTGTATTTTTCTTTCTATGGAAAAATTTGTCACGACTTTTTCGACAGCCCAGTAATATTTGCCTCAGTATTACCAAAAGTAAATAAATACTTGAGTGAATACTAGACACACCACCTATTTTTCTAAAAAAATTTAATTGAAATGCAGATATACTTATTAATTTCCATAATCTCGGTGGCTGCTTTCCTTCTATATAACAATAGAAGTAACTATGTCCAACAGAAACCACATAATGTATAAAGTCAAAAAATATAACCAGCCTCTCAAAAATAAAAATACAACTATGCTTTCTAATGTATATATGGATACTTCAAAAAGAACATTCCATCTTTATATCATGTAATTATAATACCAATTCCTAAAACAATAGCTATATAGGAGCAATCAAAACCCAATAAAGAATTAAATGTTGTAAAACAGTTTTCTAGGACCTGCAGTTGTCATAGTCATTTATTGCTGAACTCCAACATGGCCAAATGCAGCTTGAGTCTCAAGCACGGTGCTTTGAAACTCATGGCAGGCAGGTGTGTGTACATGCTCAAGATCCCGAGAAAAGAAAGGAGAAAAAGAGACTGCAGCATGACCAACCTTTCTGAGGGTGATTTCTCACTTTTTCTTTCACTGTGTCTGTCTCTTTCTCTCTCTCTGGCAAGCACACATGCCCTAACGCAAAAACCTCTACAAAAAAAGTTAAAATTAAACCTGTTTTCAACATTTACATAGGACTAATTATGATAATATAGATAGAAAAATTAAAATGTACAATAAGAAAAGTAGGTACACAAAGTGACATGCTATATAAAAGGAAACATCAATAGAAATTAGGAAAGAGATAGAAGTTATGATATTCCAGGAGAACAAGATATTTCTTGTTTTCTGAATATTAAAAGGAAAACTATTCATGTCTGTTGTGACAAAAAACTATGATAAGCCATGGAAATATAAAGTTCATTATAACGAAAACAGAGGAGAGTGTAGAGAAGAGATCTGGAGTAAATTATCATCATTGATAGTATCATTCAGGGCCATAAGCTGAAAGTTATGATATTCCAGGAGAACAAGATATTTCTTGTTTTCTGAATATTAAAAGGAAAACTATTCATGTCTGTTGTGACAAAAAACTATGATAAGCCATGGAAATATAAAGTTCATTATAACGAAAACAGAGGAGAGTGTAGAGAAGAGATCTGGAGTAAATTATCATCATTGATAGTATCATTCAGGGCCATAAGCTGAGCCAACCAAGATCTTTAGATGCTGAGATCCAGTTTTAAATCACTTTGGTGCCACCTGAAGCTGAAAGAATTCTCCCAGTGTCATCAATATAGGCTCTTAATTCAGTATATCTTGGTATTACCTCGAGGATTCATCTGTAGAAAATTACACAAAAGTCACCATTTCCTTTAACATGACAATCAATTTGTGAAATTGAATTGCTGTATCTTTGTTTTGTCACCAGATGCAAAGCAGTGTGTCCAGTGCCCAGCTCAAGAGTCTACAAACAGTGAAAGAACTCACTGCCTCCCCAAGCCTGTGACATTTCTGGCTTTTGAGGATGCTTTAGGGACAGCCATGGCCTGCATGGCTCTGTGTTTCTTTTTCCTCACAGGTGTAGTTTTGGGAATCTTTGTGAAGCACCGAGACACTCCCATTGTCAAGGCCAACAACCAGGCTTTTAGCTTTATCCTGCTCACCTCTCTTCTGCTCCTTGCTCTTCATTGGTCATCCTAACACAGTCACCTGTGTCCTCCAACGAGTTGCATTTGGCCTTGTGTTCACTGTGGCTGTTTCCACTGTTTTGGCCAAAACAATTACTGTGATTCTGGCATTCAAGGCCATGAAGCCTGGAAGAACAATGAGGTGCTTGCTGCTTTCAGGGGCTTCCAACTCTGTCATACCCATTTGCTCTGTGTTCCAAATGATTATCAGTGGAATCTGGCTAGGAACCGCTCCCCCTTTTGTTGATATAGACTCACATTCTGAGCCCAGGAACCTCCTCATCATGTGCAACAAGGGGTCAGTCATTGCCTTCTACTGTGTCCTGGGCTACCTAGGCTTCTTGTCTCTGGGGAGCTTCACTGTGGCTTTCCTGGCCAGAAACCTGCCTGACACATTCAATGAAGCCAAGTTCCTCACATTCAGCATGCTGGTGTTCTGCAGTGTCTGGGTCACATTTGTCCCAATCTATCACAGCACCAAGGGGAAGTTCATGGTGGCTGTGGAGGTCTTCTCCATCTTGGCCTCCAGTTCAGGGCTCCTAGGCTGCATCTTTGTGCACAAGTGCTATATTATTCTGATAAAGCCAGATAAAAATTCTTGGAAAGCTTTAAAAAACAGAAGAGGTTTCAAATAAAATATAAGACTTATATCATAAGATTGTATCACAATTTTAGGGTTTTGAACCAGAATGGTACAGATTTTATATTCTTATAAAGCAATTGAAAATGACTGACTTCTTAAATTCATTTTTAAAACAATGTATGCATCCAAGTTTTGGCTGTTATACTTTCAATGATGATTGGTATCATAGATTAATCAGTATTTCTTACATTATGGGTATTGATTAATGGTAACATTATATTAATTATTTAGTATTTATTGTGTTCTCCTAGAAAACTTTTTACTTCTATATAGTCAAGAATAATATCTTTACTTCCATATGATTTATTGAGTTGTATCTTCTCTCTCTGTTCTAGGAAGGTCTTGCTTTATTTAACTTTATTATTTTGATAACCATAATTTATTTTAATATGACCAGAAAGTCAGAGAGACTGAGAAATCAAGCACCCAGTTCTGGGACTCAAACTTCTGTCCATCCTGTGGGAGTTCAGTGCTCTCAACTTCTACGCTTCCTGCTGGCCACTGCAATTTAAAAATTATTCCAAGAACTTAGATCGGGGAAAAGACAGTAGTTCAATAAATGATTCTGGATATAGTAGCTATCCATGTCAGAAAGAAGAGAGTACAAACTTAAATGAAGACTTGAAATAGTACTACAGAAGAAAAAGTAGAGGAAATGCCTCAGGTATTGATCTGGGCACAGATTTTTTAAAGACATGAAAATCAGAGGCAACAAAAGCAAAAAAATTCACCTGATATTATAGCCAACTAAAATGATTCTAGATAGCAAATAATCAACAGTGTGAATAGACATGCTTCAAGAGAGGGTTAATGTATTTTCAATCTATTCATCTAGTGAAGGATTAATATTCAAGAGAATACAAGTCAATAAACTGAAAAGCAAAAACAAAAAAATACCAATTACAGAATTAAATCAAGACATGCATAAACATTTCTAAAGAAGACATACAACAGTCAAGTATGTGAAAAAAAAATGCTCATTATCACTAATTATCAACAAAATATAAATCCAAATTACAATGAGTTTTCCCTTCACTCTAGTTAGAATGACAATTTTCTTTCTTTCTTTTTTTTTTTTTTCAATTATCAGCTCATAAAGTTTTTAACAATAGGGAACAGAGATTCTATTCAGGGTTGGATTAAGGGTGGGTCTCGTGCAATTCCGCAATTGTAGGTGAGTCTCCATGGAATACAGTTTCAGGAAAGCGGTTCTGGTAAGCAGAGATGATTATCAGTTGATGCGGCACAGCAGCCATCTTGTGATTACCGGGAATGGTGTTGTGGGGATCTGCAGCGTGAGTTATCCTCGGGTATGTGGCTTCCTTAAGAATGGTAGAGTAGTTCTTGTTTTTCCCTGAGGTAATGCAGGGCTGGTAACCATCATCTTCTCACTGTCCATAGGTAGAGAAAATCCTCCTATACAATATATTTCTCAATTGGTTTAAGACA